AAGCAGGCGCAGCCCGTCGGAGAACGAGAGCAAGTTCTGTGCGATGCTGACCTCATGGAGGAGATGAGCCACCGCAACAAGATGAAACCGAACGAGGAGTCCTGGACGTGGGTGATGAAGGAGTGCGTGAAGAGCGGGCAGTTCCGCCTCGGCTATTGCATCCAGAAGGTGATGGAGGCGGAGTTCAAGTCGTGCCCTGCCGACCTCGTGAAGCAGAACGATGCGAACGCGGAAAAGGCCAAGACGGAGGGTGAGGAGCACCCCGGCCACCTCTCAAAGCAGGTCGGCCTCTTCGACGTGAAGATTGAGTAGGGAAGGGTAGTCTAATGTGTTTGTGTCTGTTGAATGCGTGTGAGACGAACGGTGTTAAAATAGGTAGGAGTTATTCTCGGGTTATTAGCGTTTGGTTGAATGAGATGTTTGGCGAGAAAATGGGTACATCTCTGTACGTGTGTGTGTGTGTAAGTAGGTGGGAGATGTGTGGGAGGGTACGTCTGGTGTGGGGCTGCGCGTGTCTGTGGACTCACTGATGCAGTGCTTGGCTTCCACTGTAGGTGGGGGGGGGGGGGGAATCACACGCACGTGCCTAAAGAGAGGAGGAAAGTAACGACGTAATGATGATGATGAAGGCAGGCAATTGTATGGCTGGGGGCGGGACGCCAGCTGCATGCAGTCACGGAAAAACATTACCAAGTTTGTATAATGCAGTAAATATGACGCACAGCCGCGCGCAGCTGCATGGGTGCCGGCGCCACGGTACAGTGGGGGAGGAAGAGAAGGGGGAAAAGAAGAAATATGTAAGGGATTTAGAATGAATAGAGCATTATTATTATTATGTGTCTCCTCTTTCTGCTGCGGCTGTGATCCTTGGGGGCGATGGAGCAGAAAGGAGGTGACGCGCGGAAGGACGAAAGAGTGAGCGGCACCTGCCAGAATGGGAAGTTGGGAGGCAGAGGAAGGGGCTTCCTTCCCCGTCTCTCGTGCTTACTTCAGTAGAAATGATGTCTCTTCCGGTGCTCTGCTTTCTTGTGTTTGTTTGTTGTTTGTCCCTCTGCCTTATCCTCGTCCAGCCCCCGGTTTATTCTTCCTCCCTTCGCTGCACTTGCGGGTGACCCACCACTGTTGCTTGCTGGCTGCGGTCTCCTCCCTGTGGTCTTCTGTATTTTGTTGTTGTTCCTCGTCTTTGCTGCCGCGCGTGCCGTGTCCCCGCAGCAGGCCCATACCCCCCTCCGCACCTTCTCCTGCGGCCCTCCACGCGGTCCTCGTCATTTGTCTCAGCCCCATGGAAACGGGAAGACAATAACACCGATGAAGCATGCCTGCCTGTCGCGTTTGTTCCTCCGCTCTGCGTATGTTTATGTGTCTGTCTGCTTGTGCGCCACTGCGGCCTGAAACTTCTCTCCCTTTTTGTGCCGCTAACCGCCACCACCACCACCCTGATACACACACCTACACACAACTCAACGAGAAGGAAGGAGACCTCCCACGACTCAACGATGCGACGCGCCACTAGCCAACTGATCCGCAACACCTCCGTTGCTGCAGCGGCCCGCTTTGCCGCGACCAGCAGTGCAAAGAAATACGACTTGTTCGGCTACGAGGTGGACACCAACACGGCCCCGTGGATCGAAAAGATCAAGAAGTGCAAGTACTACGACGAGGCCGGCGAGGTGCTTGTGAACATGAACGTGGGCAACTGCCCGCCCGACATCGCGACGTACAACGCAGCGCTGCAGTGCATCTACGAAGCACCCTCGAAGCAGGCGCAGCCCGTGGAGAACGAGAGCAAGTTCTGTGCGATGCTGGACCTCATGGAGGAGATGAGCCACCGCAACAAGATGAAACCGAACGAGGAGTCCTGGACGTGGGTGATGAAGGAGTGCGTGAAGAGCGGGCAGTTCCGCCTCGGCTATTGCATCCAGAAGGTGATGGAGGCGGAGTTCAAGTCGTGCCCT